AAGCCTCACCCCCCCCTTCCCCCGCTACCCCTTCCTTCCCTCCCCCCCATTCCTCTCTCTCTACCCCTCCCATCCCTGGTAACAATTACTAAGCAAATAGCAATTACATTTAAGCAGTTAGTTTATGTTGGCAGCTATAAGTTCAGCTCGTTAGTAACTTCTTGAACTACTATCTTGTCCCGTTCCTTTGATTTATTATCTTTCCTTCGGCCAGAGGTATGCAGGCCTCATTATACTGCAAAGGGGGGGGGTTTACCACTGATATCAAGCTGCTTACACATTTCACTTGCACCTGGCTTTTGAGGTCGATTAGAGTTTAAACATGGAAGGAGTTTGGTTCAGGCCTAGTGCAGGAAGGCTTCATTGACACTTGTGATTTTCCACCCTCCTGAGTCACCTGGGGTGATGGTGATGCCTGGTGACGTCAACACCCTGACAGGCCTCGTGCGGTCTATGGGCCGCAGGTTGCCCACCACTGCCCCAGAGACTCTAAATCTAAAGCAAGTAGCATAGGTGACTTTCACTGTTAAGCTTGAAACTGTAGCTGCCAGAGCTGAACCCACGGTGGTGTAATACCACGATACAAAATTTAAATAAAATAAAAGGCTACACTGGGTCCAGTGGAACACTTCCAGTCGTATCTCTTCTTTAACAACGTTTTTTTTGTTTAGAAGTTGCAAAGTATATTGATTCATGTAAGAGAGACTACAGAAATCAAAACAACAGAATTCTACTTCTTCCACCCCCACCTCTTGGAAACCAATGTTAGTTCCATGATGCATAGGGATGTCTTCCATACAGTTATCATGCAAATAATGAGAGCCATTTAACCCCTTTTTTCCTCACCTTAACTCAGCCCTCCCAAGATGGAACATTTGTCAAGGCAGGAATTAGAGGTTATCCATGAAATTCCCCTTTACCGGCATTTTGTGGAGAAGTGGGCCCAGGTGGAATCATTCCAGGCCAGGCCAGACGACCTTCTCATTTCCACCTACCCGAAATCAGGCAAGTAAAAATAAGAGTGTATGTAAATGTGTGTGTGTGTGTGTGTGGGTGGGGGTGGGGGGGGGGGCTAACTTTGGATCCATCCACCAGTAGGAAACAGAATATGCTTAACTTTGAAATGCTGCCTTTCAATCTATGTTTCAGGCACAACCTGGATTAGTGAAATCGTGGACATGATTTACAACAACGGGGACGAGGAGAAATGTAAACGGGATGCAATTTTCAATCGAGTCCCTTTCATGGAAATGAGCTGCCCTGGACTCCTAAATGGTAAGCGTTGTGCAGGAGATCAGACAAATGCAAGAGTCCCCTCTCACAGGAGCCATGGAAGGAGGAGAAGTAGGAATGCTGTCTCTGGACTGATTCTAATGCTGTATGTAATTCAACCTCTACAACAATGCAGTTTTATAGTGTCTTTGTACAAACTGTACACCAACATGCTTTACAGGGTTAAACACGCAATTACAGAGCCAGGAACACCTTCCCTGACCCGGTCAACATCACATCATCCCATTTCTCCCCCAAAGCCGGCCTTCAAACTCATTTGTTTCCTGCTGATTAATCCTGCTTCTCACCACAGAAAAACAAAGTCAGTAGAAAAATGTTGTGGCACTAGTATGCGATATGTGTTCTGCTTCTTTGAATCTGTAGCCGGAAGCCAGAAACTCTAGAGTGAAACAGAGCAGCATTAGGGACAAAGCCTGAGGTTTATCTTATTCTGGTGGAGTTCCTTGTTCCGTGTCAGAAGAAAGCAGCTCTCTCGCTGTGATTCTTATGTGAAAAGTTTAAATGGAGTAAGGGACAATCACGCTGCTTTTGTTCCCACCCTAGCCCAAGTCCCTACCCGTGTTTAGATAGACTGTAAACTCTTAGGCTCAGAGACCCTGTCATGTCTGTAAAGCACTGGCAGTGCTATATAAATAATCATAATTTATTTTTCCTTTTGCTGCTACTAATCATAGAAATGTTGGGCTGGAAGGCACTTTGAGAGGCCTTCTAGTCCACCTCCCTGTGCAGAGGCAGGACCAAGTATACCTAAATCATCCTTGATAGGTCTTTGTCTAACCTGTTCTTAAAACCTCCAAAGATGGGGATTCGACAACCTCCCTTGGTGACCTGTTCCAGTGCTTAACTAAAGAGTTATCAGCAAGGATGAGATCTGAAATGAGAGAGGCCCTCTTCAATGAGGCAGAGAGATGCAGGAAAGTCATTCTAGCCAGCAGCAGTTGCCAAGAGGGTGAATTTGCACCACCAGTTGCCGGATTGTTTGGCGGGTCACAGAGGAAACCAGAGCTAAATGAACAAATCAGTGGAGCTGATCAAAGATTCAGATGCAGCAGTTATGCGTGAGAATCATAGAATCATAGAATATCAGGGTTGGAAGGGACCTCAAGAGGTCATCTAGTCCAACCTCCTGCTCAAAGCAGGACCAATTCCCAACTAAATCATCCCAGCCAGGGCTTTGTCAAGCCGGGCCTTAAAAACCTCCAAGGAAGGAGACTCCACCACCTCCCTAGGTAACGCATTCCAGTGCTTCACCACCCTCCTAGTGAAATAGTGCTTCCTAATATCCAACCTGGACCTCCCCCACTGCAACTTGAGACCATTTCTCCTTGTTCTGTCATCTGCCACCACTGAGAACAGCCGAGCTCCATCCTCTTTGGAACCCCCCTTCAGGTAGTTGAAGGCTGCTATCAAATCCCCCCTCATTCTTCTCTTCTGGAGACTAAACAATCCCAGTTCCCTCAGCCTCACCTCATAAGTCATGTGCTCCAGACCCCTAATCATTTTTGTTGCCCTCCGCTGGACTCTCTCCAATTTGCACACATCCTTCTTGCAGTGTGGGGCCCAAAACTGGACACAGTACTCCAGATGAGGCCTCACCAATGTCGAATAAAGGGGAACGATCACGTCCCTCGATCTACTGGCAATGCCCCTACTTATACAGCCCAAAATGCCGTATAAGTAGGGAAGGCAGCTAGCAGCAGGAGAGTTAGGATGGGGAGGGCATTTAGCCACACCTCCCTCTTTCTAGGTATCATGAAAGGAAGAGGCAGGAAGTGCTGCTGATTCATTCTCCAGTGAGCGCAGGCTATTCATTCAGGATGTGCCAGGTGCTCCAGATGATTCCTTTAACCCCATGTGTGTTTTCCAGGCACAGAGCAGCTGGATATGGTGCCATCGCCTCGGCTAGTGAAGACCCATCTCCCAGTTCAGCTCCTCCCTGTCTCCTTCTGGGAGCAGGACTGCAAGGTAACCAGCTCCAGAGAGACATGGCGATGTAGGAATCGTCATCTGTCAGCCCACCTACGCCTGCCTCCTGGTTCCAGCAGCATCCAGTGCCTGACACCTCAGAAAAGCAACTTCCCCATAATTTATATGCCAGTTGTGCAGTGATGGTGTTTGTACTGGAGCAGGGGACATCTCTTCCAGACCTATGCAGGGGGTCAGGTCAAAGTCCCTGCAGCCCCTGCTAATTCAGACTGCACTACGTTCCCTTTTCTGTCCTGCAGATGATCTACCTTGCCCGAAATGCCAAGGATGTGGCTGTCTCTTATTACCATTTCTACCAGATGGCAAAGATGCATCCAGACCCTGGCACCTGGGATGAGTTCCTGGGGAAGTTTATGGCTGGGAAAGGTAGGCATAACCTCTCAGAAACCACAGTAACAGGTGTGGCATAAGATCGTAAACAACAGAAAAGAGATTCTCCCTTCACCCCCTGGGCAGGAATCCAGGGACATGTTATTCAGTTAGGCTATAAAGGGTCCAATGTCCGTGACTTCCCCTGGCTCCTCAGAGCCTGACAGGACGGTGAGTTCCTTAGGGCAGGATGGGAACATTAAGCCATGGCAACATGGTTCAGTGGATAGGGCACAGGACTAGGACTGAGATGACCTGGGGGGGGGGGGGGGGGTCTATTCCCAGCTCTGCCACTGACTTGCTGGGTGACCTTGGGCAAGTCACTTCACCCCCCTGTGTGACCTTGGGCAAGTCATGGCTCTGTGACTTCATTTGCCCTCCCACCTTGTCTTATCTATTCAGATTGTGAGCTCTCGGGGGTAGGGGTTGTCTCTCACTATGGGTGTACGGTACCTAACACGAGGGAATCCCACAGGGCTACTGTAATAGAAATAATTCTTACTATACTCGGTGCCCTCACAATCCTCCCCTTCAGGAGCAGAGCCCGAACATTTCAATTTCTGGTCTGGGGCCAAGAATCCAAACCCACCAGAATGTTTACACACTACTTGGAAGAGGAGTTTGCAAAGCCTTGTTAAGGCCAAAATAATAATGATTATTTAATGTTGGCATTGCAGTGGGGCCCAACAGCTCCACGCAGGCTCCGTGCACACACAGAGAACGACATGGCTCCTCCCCAGACGGCACAGTCTAACTAGACAAAACCCCTGGCCAGACAACGTAGAACAAGCATGTAATGTATCTGGTTAGTTACCTTTTTAATTTCCCCCCCCCCCAGCCCCTCCAAACCGTTCTCAGCCACCTTATCCCTCTGTCTAGAGGCATTGACCAGGACTGGGGACTCAACGTGCCCATCTTCTCCTGCCTGCCCTACAGAAATAGGTTCAACTCAGTGTGGGCGCAGGGGCTGGGAGGAGAAAGCAGCCGATCAGATGGTGCCTCTGGGTACGTCTACACTGCAATAAAAAACCTCTAGCCCTGAGTCTCAGAGCCCGGCTCAATTCACTCAGGCTCACGGGGCCCGGGCTACGGGTCTATACAATTGCAGTGTAGATGTTTGGGCTTGCACTGGAGCTAGGCTTGCCCCCTCTCCAGGATTGTCCCGGAGTCTCCAGGAATTAAAGGTTAATCTTGAATTAAAGATTATGTCCTGTGATGAAACCTCCAGGAATACATCCAACCCAAACTGGCAACCCCAGCTGGGCCCAGGCTCTGAGACCCCATGAGGGGGAGGGTCTCAGAGCCAGGGCTCCAGGCTGAGCCTGAATGTCTTCACTGCTAATTTTAGCCCTGCTTCCTGAGCCCCATGAGCCTGAGGCAGCTGATCCAGGTTCTGAGATTCAGTGCCCCAGATTTTTAATCACCGTGTAGACGTACCCTTAGATGCCTTTAAAAATTCCAGCTGGTTATTGAAGAAAAAGGACTAGCAGTTCATCCCATCCACCCCTGCCCCGTGCAGGATTAGTGCACATGGCACACAGTCCACTGTTCTGTCCAGCCTGGTTTTAAAAGTCCCAAGCAATGGGGCTCCCAGCCTTCTGCTGGGAGACTGGTATAATAACCTAACAGCTCACGTCCCCTGTGACACTCTTGGAACCAGTACTAGCTGTGATCTCTCTCTCCTCCTTTTCTTTGTTGCTTGTTTCAATCTGGATGTAGTGGCTTATGGATCCTGGTACGATCATGTCAAAGGCTGGTGGGAGAAGAAAAAGGCCTATCGAATTCTGTACATGTTCTATGAGGACATGAAAAAGGTGAGGAAGGGGAAGCGATGGGGATGGGGAGCCAGGGGATCCTGCTCCAAATGCCCCCTTTCCCTAAGGAAGGAAGGTGATTTTAACATCTATCTAGGTATGTGTAGAGCTCCCCTCACTGTCCTTTCTGAGCATGTCCCAATCATTAATGAGTGTAGCCTCACAACACTCCCATGGGAGAGTAGCAGTGTTACTCCTGTTGAACTGAGGCTAGATCTACACTGGGGGGGGCGACCTAAGATACGCAACTTCAGCTACGCGAATAACGTAGCTGAAGTCGGCGTATCTTAGGTCGATTTACCTGGCTGTGAGGACGGCGGCAAGTCGACCGCTGCCGCTCCCCCGTCGACTCCGCTTCCGCCTCTCGCCGTGGTGGAGTTCCGGGGTCGACAGCAGAGCTATCGGGGATCAATTTTATCGGGTCTACACTAGACATGATATATCGATCTCCGATAGATCGATCACCACCCGCCGATCCGGCGGGTAGTGTAGACGTACCCTTAGATACTGCCAGATTAAGTGATTTGCCTAGAAGGAATCTGTGACAGACCCACATCTCCTGAGTGCCAGTCCAGAAATTCATCCTTCCTCTCCTGCACGTCCATTTGCAACACTGGCATTGTTAGGAGTAGAGGGGTGGTTCTGCAGTCGCCTATTTTACTACACCCAGTGGGAAAATACTTTGCATTTGGCTCTGAGGCACATTGACATGTATCTGGAATATTAACAAAACAATGCCGGAACCAGCCATGTTCAGTGCCAAACTAAGACAGCGAGTCCACAGCCCCAAACTTCCTGCCTACAGCCGCCACCTATAGGTATGACAGTGGATTCAGTTGATCCAAGCCATGATTCATTTTAATCTGCCCCTTAGCTTCTTATAATAATATGGTCAACAATTCCTAAACTGCTAGATGGCTCATGTCCCATTGGTTCAGAAAGCAATGACCCCTGACTTTTCCCCAGACCTGATTTTAGTCTGGTCCATAAACACTCCCTTTTGTTCCCCTGTCAACCCCAAGAGAAGGTAGAACTATAGGGGATGGACGGACCAGGACCCTCCTCTCATCGTCTAGGTAACACAATAAGCCCCCTGCCAACACACACATCCTGCCCCTCTTAGGGTACGTCTACACTACGAGATTAATTCGAATTTAGATAATTCGAATTTGGGAAACAGATTGTATACATTCGATTGTGCGCGGCCACACTAAGCACATTAATTCGGTTTTTAACCACATTAATTCGGTGGTGTGCGGCCACACTACCCCATTAATTTTAACCACATTAATTCGGTGGTGTGCGGCCACACTACCCCTAATTCGAATTAACAAAATCGATTTTGGTGCTACTCCGCTCGTCGGGGTGGAGTACAGAAATCGATTTTAAGTGCTCTTTAATTCGAAGTAACTGGCTCCGTTGTGTGGACGGGTTAAGGATTAATTCGGATTAACGCAGCTAAATCCAAATTAAAGTCGTAGTGTAGACCAGGCCTTAGTGAGTTCCCACCAGCTGGCCCTCACCACCACCAGGCAAATCAATTAACAGGGTTATTCTTCCTCAGCCTGTTCTCTTTTGCACCCAGAGCACTAACAAAGAGGGAGGAGGTACCAGGCTTAGCCGGAGTCAGTGACATATTAGAAGCCTAATGGATCTTTAATTCATATTTGAGCCATCCTTAAATATTCTCATGTCTCGCATCTTTGCATTCAGTCAGACAGCAACATAACGAACACACATAGTCATAGATTTTACACACTGAAGTTCTGAGGGTGAACACAAGGTAGTTTGGTGACTAAGTACAGGAAGGGAGTCAGGGAAGCTTTAGGTCTGTTCCATTCTGCATCAGAGTCACTTAAGGCAAGAGTTTCAAAAGTGCACCCACAACAGCGACTAGATTTCCAGAAAAACCCAGCTCCTATTTACATGCCTAAATAAGGAGCGCTAGATCAGTGGTTTTCAACCTTTCCAGACTACTGGACTCACTTTCAGGAGTCGGATTTGTCTTGCGGACCCCAAGTTTCACCTCACTTAAAAACTACTTGCTTGGAAAATGAGACATAAAACTATAAAAGTGTCACCGCGCACCATTACTGAAAAATTGCTGACTGTCTCATTTTGTCTGTATGAAATTTTAGTGCTTTTAATTTGCTAGTGCTTTTTATGTAGCCTGTTGTAAAACTAGGCAAATAGCTAGATGAGTTGACGAACCGCCCGAAGATCTCTGTGTACACACACTGAGCTCGATTGCTGAATGTTCCGTGCAGAGGTGAATGCCGCTGAAATCTATTTGGCAGCTGAAGCCGGTTGTGACTCAGCAAACCTCCAGAGAGAATTGGGACATCTAAGGGGTAGATCTGTTAAGGGGTATTAAAGCCCTTGAGTTGGAGATAACTTTGAAGGAAAGAAAACAAACCACTCCACTTCAGGCTGAAAACTGCAGAGCTGGCTTCATTAGCTCTCAAAAGTAGACACTTAGGGCTTATCTTGGGGAAAGTCTGGGATGGGAGTGTGTATACAGGGAGTTTTACCTGCATAGCTATGCTGATAACTTTTTTTGTGTACAGAAGTTTTAGCTATTCTTACCTTAAGGCAAGGGGTTTGGGTTGAGTTCTCACTGGAACCAGAATCAGCTACGATACTAGCCATGGGCTGCTAGACTCCACTTAAGGTCATATGAGGCAGGGGGTTTCCAAGGGCTGCTATTTATACCTTTCCACAGCACCCTCTGGGGCTAGGACTGCAGCATTTCAGGGAAGGCCACACTGCAGCTTCTCATTGAAGAGTAGGAAACTGATTAATATTACTTGGTTTAGTTTGTTCTAACTTTGGTTGTTTTGGATTTTGGGTGGTTTGTTGGTGAGGGGCCCCTTTTTCCTCCTGGCTACAGAAAGCAAGATGGAAAGGGGTTTTAAAAGGGGGAATACGGGCACACTCAAAAGAATAAAAAAGTATGTAGAGGTGGCTGATTGTCTAAAACCAGTAAGGTCTGGATCCAAGAGATTATATAGCTGAGCTGCAGTTTGGCTGAAGTTAGAGTTTAGGGCTGGTGAGAATTTTGTTTAAAGGTTTCAGCTAGCTTCTGTCTCTGCCTCTAAAAGGGGAGGCTATTTCCTATGACTATCAGTGCTAGAACTTTAGAAACTTAATTAATGCCCTTTTTGTGAGATCTCAAATTAAAGCAATTTACTTTTAATATTTACAATGGGCTCCTGACTTTTTTCCCCTGCCCCTCCTCTCTTCAGTGATTCTATGAACTTATACCCTCTGCTTCTAGAATGCTAGTGTGGCATTAGTACCGTATGTAGCACCAGGGCCGGCTCCAGGCACCAGCCGACCATGCACGTGCTTGGGGCGGCACCTGGTAAGGGGTGGCGGCACTCAGGGTTTTGTTTTTGTTTTTTTGGTTCGGCGGGGCGGCGCTCGGGGGGGGTTGGTTTTGGTTCGGCGGGGCGGCGCTCGAGGGGGTTGGTTTTGGTTCGGCGGGGCGGCGCTCGGGAGGGGGTTGGTTTTGGTTCGGCGGGGCGGCGCTCG